CGCACTTTGGTTAAACCAGGAAAGAAATCATGATGGTGTGTTGAAAACAAGGAAAGGCCCTTCTTCCCTTTTCTCGGGCATTATATGTTTTTTATTTTTCCGTGGTGGTGTGTGGGGTGGTTGGGGGGGAGGGGGGAGGGGGGGGGGGGGGGTGGGGGGAGGGGGGGGGGGGGGGGGGGGGGGGGGGGGGGGGGACAGATAGCATAAGAAGTTCAGCATCTACAAATCAATCAACTTTAAGGTGGAGTAAATAGAAGACAATATAGGACAGTACAAAGACAGACGAGCGGGGGAGCAGGGGGTTTTATCAGAACAGCAAAATTGACAGGGAGGAGATTCCCAGAAATACAAGTACAGAATACTTACTCCTTAGCAAATTCACAATTAATGCGGCGGCCATCAATGTCCCGCCATCTAATAGTATCTTGCATCATCAGCATCTCGAGGATCACTAAATTCCTGTTCGAAACACGTGTGGCAAACAAAAAGTTTTTTGGGGGGCAGGAGTGGTTAAGGGGTCAACAACGCAGAAAAGTAAACGAAACAATAACACCATTAGATAGAGAGGGGAAATTCAAAGAGAGGAACATACTACGAAGGCATAGTCGTGCTTCAATGTCCACATCACGTACTCTGCGGAATCGGGTTGCCAGAAACAGTAAGGCCATCATTACTTACTTAAGCACAGGAAGTGCATGAACACTTGCCCCCTACAAGACGAACTAAACACCAGTTTGAGATTGTTGAATTCCATAAAAATACGCAAAGACATTATAAGAAAGAAACACCAAAGTCTCCTAAACCGGGCAAGACTCCACCAAGAGGCCATACAGAAAAGAATCACCGAAGTCTTCCCTAAAACACCGGCAAGACTTTCGCATCAATTCCACCAAGGCCCACCCTCTCAAGATTCGACCTTTCGGGCCAGGCCAAATGCCTATAAACCGTCAACAAGAAATCATTCAAGTTAAACTCACAAGCATCTGGAACACATTTTCCTTTATATATAATAATTGATAAGACCTACCCGAGTAATACATATGCTTGGAGGAAATTCCAACACAGAAGATGGGAGATTAAAAAATGTACAACCTCCACTGACTCCCTGCTAGTCCGTGCTTAAACCAAGTTGTGCAATTCTAAGGAGTTCCCACAGAGAACTATGAGTTATTGTCCAAGATCAAAACAAGATCAGAACTAGAGCTTTATGACATACAAATACAGGGAAACAAAGAGCAGGAAACTATCCATCTAGCAATATCATATAAATTGGTCCAAATAGAACAGACCAACGAAAAAATGAAGGAAAAAAACAAACGAAAAAAATGAGAAAAGGAGAGCAGCAAATATCTCCGCTGCACCTCTTCCAATTTAACAAGCAAAGGTTATACATGGATTTGAGATCTTCAAACTAAAACACTAAGGAACCAAAAATCTCAAGGACCAAAGGAAAAGTTTGTTCTTCCATTCTATTTTAAATGTGAGCAACTTCAAAAGAAGAACAGTTTGGGTAGGAATGAGTTGAACTTAGGCTAGATAGACCAAAGTGCCCATTAGACAACAACCGTGGCGGACGCACTGGTGGCAAAGCTGGTTCAACTGAACAGCTTCATCAAAAAAATAATAATGTGTATATGTATAAATTACGATTAAATTTGCGTAAATTTTGTATAAATATTTTTATTCGAACCCACTTGACAACTACTATTTAGCACTAGTATATGTACTTCTCTAAGATTGAACCCGCTTGCACAAAATCCAGGTCCGCCACTGGACACAACGCAAGGAAAAGAATTACCCAGTTTCTAGAAGGTCAATCAAACAAACATAACATGGTTGTAATAATTATTTATCACCTGCATTTTCTGCAATTTCAGTTGTCAATGAGAATGGCAAACATTAAAAGCAGAGAAAA